GTATGGCTGTCGAGTGGCGACGAATAAAGCAATGCCAAATTGGCAGTGGCGGAACTAGGGGGGTGAAGCCGGGGATTGATCCCCGGGCATAAAATTTTAGTGGGCGTAATTTTTCTTTAGATCTTTATTTAATACTTGGTGATAGAAGTTAAGAAAACATTTTTATTTCACATTATTTGTTTATGATGTTGTAGTGATGACGTTGGAATTAATGAAAAAAAAAATAAAGTTAATGGTATTATGAATAGATTCGTATTAGTATACTAAGTATATACTGGTATACTGGCATTAGCATACCTACAACTGCAAGCATATACAACTAATATACTATAATTATTAAGATTCTGAGTGAAAATGTAACTAGTAACTATACATAGACATTTATTGATGCTGTGTTTTCGTTAAAATTTCTGATACCTACACAATAACTGTTATAAGATTATCAATCAACTTAAGATACGTATATTATATCTGTATATTAAAAATGATGTTAATATATAGTTTATAATATTATATATTATAATATTTACCAAGATAGTTATACATTTGTTTATGTTTAAAAAAAAGATTTGATTTTAAATATTTACTTTTTCATTTTTTCTATTATAAATTGTTTAATTAAATACAATTTTTTACTGGCCTAAATTGTGTTCCCTAATCAGAATAAAAGATTTTATATTTTACCATAAAAATCCATTATAATTGAAGGCTGAGGCGCATAGAACCAAAACAGCAAAAGGGTTTATAATTTTTATAAAGGATAGGTAGGTAATTAAAGTTTTGATTATTTTTCAACATTTATATATAACTAATATTATTATTATTTCTAATAATAAATTCAATTAAGTAACCACTACAGTATTTCCAGTAATTAAAAATGTATCAACAATATGTTAACTAAGTTTTTAAATTGAAAGTGTTTTTGGTGTGATAGTTTATTAGTATAAACTTGTTTACACCACAGTCCACAGAATATATTAATTACTGTATATTATTATGTGTTTAAAAGTTAATAAGTATGTTTGTAATTTTAGTTCCAGTTATGATAAAACAATTGTAGGGAATGATATTGTATTTTCAATCTTCGTCTATGATTGGGCTTAATTTTAATATTTTCCCCGGGCGTAAAAATTCTTAGATCTGCCTCTGCAAATGGCTAATAATAAGTAATAACTAATAATACTATTGACTATAAATACTACAAATGTCTAATACTAGTATCTTGTATTTATAATAATTAAATCAATAATAATACTTATTCATTTTTTTTTTCATTATAATGTATGTATTTATCTATTACTTATAAGTTATAACCTTATAGGTACCTACTATACCTAAACAATTAAAACACAATGTATAATTATTGATATTTCGTTGGTTTCAACTATTAAACCATGCCTGCTAATTTTATTTTTCCGACTTTCAGGTACCTATTAGTACTTAGTGGTACCTATACCTATTAATATAATGTGTTAGAAGACAGAAGTGAAAAGAAATACGAAATACCTGAAATAGTAAGATAGTGATTGAAATACTTTTATAATTCTGAAAGTAGTTTTAAAATAGGTAAATAGAAAAACGAAATTCGAGGGTAGCGAGAAAAAAATGTTTGGTGGGTGACCTGGATAAATTTTAAACTCCCGGCCTGGATTTGGTTCCCACTCCGCCCCTGACTATAGGCACTGTGCACTTTAGCACAAGTTAAACATTATATAGGTACCTACTTACAAACTCGCATAAAAAACCCACCTCGAGTATACGTCGAGTGTTAGTGTACCTACAATAAAATTTGGAACGTTCGCAGGGCCGTATTAGAGCATAAGCACTATAGGCACTGTGCACTTTGGCACAACAAAAATTTTAAACTCCCGGCCTGGATTTGGTTCCCACTCCGCCCCTGACTATAGGCACTGTGCACTTTAGCACAAGTTAAACATTATATAGGTACCTACTTACAAAGTCGCATAAAAACCCCACCTCGAGTATGCGTCGAGTGTTAGTGTACGATGAAATTTAGAACGTTCGCAAAGGGCAGTATTAGCGCATAGGCACAGCGTGCTTAGGGCCTACGAAAGTAAAATGAATGACTGCAATTTCTTTGTAATATTTTATGTTTTTTTTTATTATTATTATTAGAAGTCAATCTGTATACGATTGTACGCGTTGGCACAACAAGTAAAATATTATATAGGTACCTACTTACAAGTGATACCCCGAATTATAATAATTATAAATAATATTGTTCAAGTAATACAAACAATAGTTTATTATCGACTACAAGTGTCCGCGTGTGTCTCGGTAAACGAGGGCAATGCAATAGATGCTGTTGATCACTAGAGATAAATCCCAAATTTTTTTTTTTTATTTGTTACAATTATCTTTTGTATTATACTTCACAGTGACGGTATGACATGAGTAGTTTTATATGGTTTTTGACAACGCTGGTCAAGTTAATATGAACCAATAACAAAAAGTTAAAAGTTAAAAGCTAATTTAACTATAGGTTAACTCAGTTAATACACACTTTTAGTTAACTTTTTAATAAGTTAAAAAACAGCGAATTTGATTATACAACGCTAGCGTAGGTACTTCATTTTTTCCCAACCCAAAACTAAAATATAAACTATAGTGTTAATTTATAAATTAGATTTGAATATTATAAATTTTTAACTTTAAACCATTCACGGTAAATATTTTTTGACATGAAAACAAAATAGACTGAAATAGTGAAATATAATAAAATTAAAAACTAAATAAATTAACTTAACTTACTTCTTCAAAAGGAAAATGAATTCGTTAATTTCACGTTAATTAAAAAGAAATTTAGTTAGTTAACTGTTACGTTAATTAAAAGCCAAAAGTAACTAGTTACGTTAAAAAGTTAATGTTTTGTTGAAAAATTAATAGGGTTTGCAGGGTCCTTAAACATAACATCACAATATGAATGTGTCAAGACTTATATTTATTGAATAGAAATTTTTGAAATACTTTAATAGTTTCTTTGAAAACTAAAGTTATACACTTTTATGCAAATAATTTCTTGTCAATTTAAAAAAAAAAACATTTATCTACAAGTATTATCTATTAGTTGCAAAAATAAAGCTTAAAACCTAAACTTAACCCTAGTAATTTTTGTAATTAAATAATACCCATTGTATTTTAAAATGTAAAAACAATTACAAATCCACACAAAGAAACTATAAGTAAGATTTCAGGGGCGGACCAGTTGTGGATCCAGATGACACGCAAGGATGGGGGCAAATTTTCAAAAATATTTGTATATTAATTATACCGATTTTATTATAAATATATTAATAACAAATTATTTTTGAGTAGCAGCCCACCAGGAAAGTTCCCGGTATCCCACCGTCTGTCCAGTAATGATTGTCTAAAATTTGTGATCAAAATATGTGACTATTGGTATTCAACCCAAGATCACAAGCATTTAAAACATTCACGAGAACACACGCACACGGTCTTTTTAGTCACACAGTATAGCACAAATCAAAGTCAACTAAAAGTTACAATGAAAATATAATAACTATCAATTTCGTTTATCGAGCAGCAATTATTAGAAACACAATTTAAAAATAACCCATGGTTGATTTTTTTACGATCACACACACGGTCTTTTTGACCGTATATTAATACTTAATGTCTGGTAATGAACTTTGAACACTTCTATATTGCTGACATCAGATTGTATACAGTTGGGAGTTGTATCTAATTTTAGTTTATCACCTAATTAGAAGGTACCTAGGTTGGATTAGGTTAATATTTCGTATTTTTCAAACAATGAACAAAATTCTAAAAGCCCGGTCTTTTTGACCGTAAAGCGTGTGCTCTAGGGTTAAGAACAAATACAATTCCCCCGTGGCTTCAAATGGTAAATAGATTAAATAAATATTGGGTTTGGGTATAACAAGTGAGATAGCAACATGTTAATAAAAATTATTTAATTATTAAACTTTACATTTCTAATCTAAATCTAATTCTTAGTTGTAAATTATTGAAGGCATTTATAGTCCATGCATCTTTTACCCCTTCTGTATATTCTCTAATAAACCTATAGTTCAACACAATTATATTATTCTTTAATTCTTTTTTCTTCAGATCTTTTTTTTTTTGTATATCAACAATTTCTTCAGATATTTTATTTTGAATACTGTAATAGCACATTGTTATTTCAACAAAACGCCGGTCTGTAACTAGAAAATAAAAATTTGTCAATATAATATACTCACGTTTTGTGTCATTAATAATATCCAACTGTACTGGTAAAAATAAATACTGTCATTGTATATGTGATCTTTTATTTCATTTTCACTGTAATTTTTCATCTGTTCCAGCACATTGTTGGTGACCAGCTCCTGTAGTGTGGTAAAGTCTCGTTTGGAAATGCAATTGAACACTACCTCAACAGCCTGCAAAAGCAAACAAATAACATCATGGCTTCTTCTATGCTTAGTTTTATAAATCAAAGTTGTAAAGATTTTAATAACCTGCTAGTGTTAAAACGCTAAGATATTTTTTTTTCTATATTTTATTATTGTTCTATTATGTGATCATCACAAACAGTTGGTACTATAAGCAAAATTCGATAAATACAAAACTAATTTCTAGGAATAGTTCAGATGTGGACTCGAAAGTGTATCTCATTCGTCACATGAGCATAAATTATCATTCTTATTTTTTAATGACTTGAATCGTTAGATATAAAATATAAAATATAAGATCTGATGTATTTTAAAATTAATAAAATTGTACATATTGTGAAACCTCAAAAATTAATAGGGTTTGCAGGTACCTTAATATTTCCACAATGTTTTGGTGGCAAAGAGGTAACTAAATAAAATAATGGTTTTTAAATAATATAAGCAACTAATCAAACAGTAGTTAAGTATTCTAACACAAAATTCAACTGATAAATTATGGAAGTTTCAAATTCTAAAGACTAAACTGTTGAAACATTTTCACAAAAGTGGAATAGATTACAGAACATGATTCCATTGTTACCCTTAACAATAATTGAAAAACCAAGTACACGGTTAAAAAATATTCAAAATAGTCAACAATTTGTAGGATTTATTTGTTCAGTAAACAAGACACCAGCTTCACTGAATAGAAGAAAGGGAAAAATCAGGGCACAGCCTACTTCAATAAGTAGGAGAAAACAAGGAGTACATCGTCGTTCAAAAAGGGTACCATCTGGAAGACCAAAAGAATATGTCGCTAAAGGAAAGCCTAGACGACAAAACAATTTAGGTAAAAACATATAGAACAACGTAATGAACTCTAAGCGTCATTAAAATGTATACAATAATATTTGTTTTAAAAATTATGTCACTTGTCAGTAGTGTTATACTGCAGTATTGTACAGAATTTTAACTTTTAAGATGTATACATTTTTTTTTTGTATTTTACAGCAGCTTTACGGTTGAATGATAGAAGTTAATGTATTGAGATATGTATTGTTATGTAAAAAAATTACAAGTTATATGTAACTATGCAATTTTTTATCTTTTATACTATAATTAATAAAATCCCTAATGTTTTATTGTTTAAAAATGATTTTATAACATACTCAAGCTTTTAAATGATTTAGTTTATACAAAAAAAAAACCTATCTGTTTTTTGATTATAATATAATCTTACTTATACCAGAAAATTCCATTTATTTTCTTTAATATTATACTATCTAGTTCAGTGGAGTATTTTTGGAGATTTTTCAATGGGGGGGGGGGCTTGAAAATTGTTACAATTTTATTTTTATTCTGTCCAGTCTAATAATTTCGGACGTTTATTTGAGGTATTCCAGAGGGGACTAATGTCTCCATATAGTTTTAAGCGTTCCATATATAATTTTATGTATAATGTCTAATGTATAAAATCCTAATTTGTTAAAGGGGGTGGTTAAAGGGACCCCCAGAGGTAGAGGGACCGAGTCCTCCTACGTCCCCCCCCCACTATAACTCCTGGTCCTCACTTGGATTGTATTTGATTAATTAAAATTTTTTTTTTCTATAAATGTCTATAAAAAATATATTTACCCGGTCAAAAAGCTTAAAAATGTAATAAATAAGTTTTTATTTTAGCTAAAATATTAACAATACATAGGCATCATGGTTATTTTTTATAAGTATTTAAAGTTCAAATTTCGTCAAAATCACAGTTAATTTATAGTTCAAAACTTATGAAATATTAAATGTGTATACTGTATAGCTAAGGCTTGATAATTTAATACCAGGTCTTTTATACCAGAAGTTCAGAGCCTAAAAATTACAGATAATGTATGAAAATTGGTATGCAGATACAATGTTTTTTCAAAAATGAATTCATTCTAGTAAGACACATATGAAATTGACATCTTGCTTACTATACTATTTTTTTTAAAGTAATAATAATATGGGCAATGGGGGACCTTCAGCCCGTTAGCCCCCCTGCGGATACCACTGGTCTAGTTAACAGACTTACACCTTTCTTAGCTACAAACATAGATATAAATGACTAAATAAATATCAGAATTTACTAAAATGTGGGGTACTTTAATAAAGATATTAATAACTAATAAGTGTAGGCTGCACTTAGTTGTATTTTAAGGGGAAGGGGGAATAATTATAAATGAAATATTTTTCATCACCACACCACCAAACGAGCTTTATATTTATGATTTATTTTATTTATACACTTCGTTAAAATTAATGTCTATATAATTATTTAGTAAAGTATTTAACACAACCGTTAACTACTGAAGGATTGTAACATTTATTATATTTCAATCTCTTTTTTAATTAGGTACCTAATTTAAATACTGTCTTGGATATATTTCTAATTAAAAATCAAATACTAGCATAGTTTATTTAAATACTTTTAAAAATTAAAAAATACATAATTTAAAAAAATTTTCCACTTGTAATTGTTGAAGTATTTGAGAATTAAAATATGATAAACTTTTATTTATTTTAATTTTTTAATTTAAAATTACAGTAGTACAAAGATAAGTTCTCATGACAGCATGACACTTATCATAATATGTGACATAACAATATTAAATTAGTAATTACAAAATCAATTTTGCATACCTACTTGTACTTAGTAATAAATTACTAAAATTAAAAGGTGACAAATATTTGTATTTGTTTTTAAGTACTTTTAAGTGTGAGTGTTTTTTATCTGTATTTAAATACAATTTTAAAATTATTTTTTACAATATTGTTTATAATCTAGTCAGAAATAATAATTATTACCTATTTAGTCACTAGATGGTAATTATTATTTAATTTTTAACTTTTTAACGTGACAAAAAAGATTTTGATTTATTTTATCTAAGTAAAATATTTATTAAAATTTTAACGCCGTTGTTTATAAGTAAACAGACTACCTACCTAATAAATTATTTATTTTCTGAACTATAATAATATGTAGGTACATCTTAAGATTAGAGCTGTTTTTGAGTTGGTTTTTATACCTTAATAATATTTAATTGTGAAGAAATTTTTTTATATTATAATATTTGGCCCAAATTTTAAACGAATAAGCATTATTATAATAATTGATAACAGATAAAAGATTATAATATTAGATTAAATTTTAATATTTGGCGAGTATTTTAAACGGGCCAATGAAAGCAGCGTATTATAGAAAGGCGCTGGAGCTATAGAGGGTTTGGTAATACGCGTCAGGGGTAGGTGCATACTAGTTTTTACTATAAATTAATCATAATTGGGGCAGTGAAGTTGTTGCATTTGCATATTTTTTGTAAATGCTTATATTTATTGCTGAGTTAGCTTAAAATATGTTTTGTTAAACTCTTAATTTAATAAAAAAAAAATTATATTGCAATAAATGCAATTCTGGCAATTTTCTTAAATTTACTGCAATTTAAACTATTTTTCATAATTTTTGTTTACATTTAAGATTATATAACTTGATATATAAAATAAAAGTAAGTAAACCTGAACAAATTTCTATATTTTTTGTACTAATTATGTTTTATTAATATTTCTATAGAGCGATTATCGCATTAAGGTCGCTAAGAAAACATAAAAAAATCATTTGTTATGCAATGCAAATATGCAATAATGTAAACAATATTAATATTTAATTTTTACTATTACTATTTAATAGTAATAATATAGATTTTATTGATCATAATTAAATTTTTTTCGATGCAATTTTTTATATATTTTAATGCAATAAATCAATCTATTTAGGGAGTTTTTTTAAATGTTAAATCAATGATTAATGAATAAAGTTCCAATTTAAATCTAACAGCAATTAATATACATGATTTTATATTATTAATTATTGATTGATTTTAAAATATACTGTTACCATGAAAAATATTTAATAATTTAATAAATTAACACTATAGATGAGTAGGTATTTTATAACCATACATTGTAAAGTCCTTGGATAAATATTATTATTAAAAAAAATAGTCAACTACTTCTATTTAAGTTAAGACACTTAGTTGAAAGTTGCTTAGTAAGTGTACAATTTTAATATTCCATATAAATTAACTCTTAGAAAGTGTAAAGTAAAATATTTTTTTTTCCTAAAGTTAGGGGACATGTTTTAGATTCTGAGTGAAACGATGAATGTATTGATTTTACAATGATGTGTGTTTTTTTATTTTTCTATTTTTTTTTGTGTCTGTGTACATGCTTCGATATTCAACTTCAGTATCTTGTTCGATTGGAAAGTGAATATCATTGGTGCATTAGGAAGGTCAAAATTTAAAATTCCCAGTACTTTTCAAAAGCGCCAAGAAAAACAAAAGCAAAACGGGAATTTTTACGCAAAATCGAATTTGGGTTTTGGTGTAACTTTAATACAAATTACCGTAGATACATGCAATTTTCACTGATTGTTTATATTTTCATTTTCTATACACGATATCATTTTCAAATAATTTTGATTTATTTTGAACTGTTTAGGGACATTTTCATTTTTTTTTGGTTTTTTTTCTAAAAATATCAATAAAATTTTATTTGTTGGTTAAAAAAACTTGAAAATTTAATAGAAGGTTCCTAGTATATTGTTTCAAAGGCAGATGAAAAATATTAAAAATCGTTAGTCACAGTTTTTTTTTATAAGCTTTTAAAGTTCAAAAATTGACAAAATATGGAAAAATCACGAAAATTAGCAAATTATTTTGAGTTAAGAATTCGTAAAAATTTTTCTTTTTAAATCTAAGATTTGAAAATGAAACACAAGATTCCTTATAAGATTATCTACCTTTATCAATAAAAAAATCTCTACCGGACAGTCAAATTAAATTTTTATGAGCGTTTGAAATTCAAATTTTTACAACATTGGACTTTCACTCGATTACTCATGTAGCGATTTCCTTATTTTGTTGCAATTCAAAAACGAACAACTGTAGATACATGAAAATTTCACTGAATGTTTAAATTAGCATTTTCTATACACCATACAATTTTGAAAATATTTTGATTCTTTTTGAGCTGTTTATGGACATTTACAGCTTTCAATTTTTTTTAGTTTTTTTTTTTCTATAAATATCAATTAAGTTTTATCTGTTGGGCCAAAAAGTGTAAAAATTTAATACAAGGCTCCTGATATATTGTTACAATAGCAGTTGAAAAATATTAAAAATACATAGGCATGATTTTTTTTTATAAGCTTTTAAACATCGAATTTTGACAGAATTTTTCAAAATCTCGAAAATTATTAATCATCGTAATTATTAAATTATAAAATGTTCAGTTTTTATAGCTAAGGATTGACAATTTAAAACAAGATTCCACGTAAGTAGTTAATTCTCTTACCGAAAAATCTAAAAAATATACAATCACAGTTTATTTTTATAGTCATTTTATGTTCAAATTTGGACGAAATTACATATTAAAAAACTTAGTTATTTTGTTGTGATTATATAATATTATTCGTGGGTGCCTACTTGAAACTTCTAAAGTGTACTATTATATATCTATGATAGTATCAGGGTTTGTTATTGATGTTGATGTATAACGTGTTATAAGTACCTAATGGATATTGTGATAATGTGATATGATTAATTTGGAATTTATTATAGGTCAATTTTAAATTTTTTTTTTAATACCATAGATATGTATATAATTTGTCTTAAACCTAGACTGACATACCGTCTTCACTCAGAATCGTTTTTCTTATACAATGATATTGTATCATTGAATTCAAATTTAATAGCATCCATTATACAGTGACCCACTTGTAACCTACTGTACAGCAGAGCGACATCCACTTACCCACCTTTTTTATTTATTGAATTAAG